TCCTTTTACAAATTAGAAGATCACTGTTCTGAGAAAAGGCTTTACCAAATTGGTTACATTCATGATGTTTCTCTCCAATATGTGTCCTTTTATGTCTTAGAAGATTACTGTTATATGCAAAGGCTTTACCACACTGGTTACATTCAAAAGGTTTCTCTCCATTGTTTGTTCTTTCATGTATTAGAAGATTACAGTTCCATACAAAGCCTTTACCACATAGGTTACATTCATATAGTTTCTCTCCAGTGTGAGATCTTTTATGTCTTAGGAGATAACTGGTAAATGTAAAGGCTTTACCACATTGGTTACATCCACAAGGTTTCTCTCCAGTGTGTGTTCTTTCATGTATTAGGAATGTACTATTATGTGCATAGGCTTTACCACATTGGTTACATTCATGAGGTTTCTCTCTAGTAAGTATTCTTTTCTGTAGTAAGAGACAGCTGTTGTTTCCAAAGGCTTTAGCCCATTGATCACAATTGGGGGTTTCTGTCCAACATGAATTTTTTCATACATTTGAAGTTCACTATTATATACACAGTGTTTACCATATTGGTTACATTCAGAAAGATCTTCACCAGTATGTGTTATTTTATATGTGTGAGAACTGCTCTGATGTGCAAAGACTTCACCAAATTGACTGTCTTCAGAGAGGTTATCTCCAATATGACTCCTTTCATACCTGCAAAGATAATTTGCACATGTAAGTTTTACCACACTCATGTTGATTAATCTTTTTATCCATGTCAATTTTATATTTGGTGTCAAAGTAAAGAGTAATTAAATCTTGAGGTTTCATCACTATTTTTACATTCATGGTATTCTCTTTCTCTAAGGGTTGTTTTACATATTTGAAAATACTGGTGATGATAAAAAATATGTTTACCTGGTTCATATTTATACTATGCTTTCTTGTATAAATTGTTTTACCACATATTTGTAGAAAACTACAAAACCTCGGCTTTAACACACTGACTGGATTAATAAATTTCCCTGTATTGTGTGCCATGCTATTTTTGTAAAGATAACTGGACAAACAGAAGTATTTATATATTCCTAAAACTTATATTTTCTGCAGTGTCAGTTTGTGAGTATTCATAATGAAGTTGAATTACCAATGAACTGATGTTGGTGTATATTGTTGGAAAGTGTGTCAGTATATGTAAATATTTATTGCTGAGCCTGCAAAGACCTAAGTGCTGGCAAGATTTTAGTATATGGCCCATCACCTGTCCTATATTTTGTAAGCATTTGTCATTCCTTACTTATCTATTAGAAACAATGAAGAGCTGACTACTGACAGCAGGGCACAAAATGGAGGGCAGAACTTCTGAGTGAGAGAGGGTTGTTGGAAAGAAGAAAGCAAAAGACAGGTGAATCACCAGCAGCACATTGAGGTTAACAGATGGACATGAACCGGAACAAAGAGGTAGAGCTGGCCATGCAGCAGGACACCATGCTGGGTTTATTTGGGTTAAGGGGAAAAAGGGTTCAAAATCTGCTCAGCTAAATTGCCTAAGGTTTAAAACGTTAAAATGCCCGTGTCATTATTTGTATGGCTGGCAATTCTAAAAATCCCATATGAATCCTAACAGGATCACATTTTTTAAATCTACTGAAAAGGTGGGCTATTATCTCTTTTAGTTGTTCTGAGAGGTACATTGCTTCTTTCAATATCCCTATGCTAACATGGTTTGTATTCATTGTGACATATGATATACCCATTAAAAGAAGAATAATAACATGGTTTATCAATAATAAGAATAATGACATGGTTTCACATTGTACTCACACATTTGATTTGTGTTCATCATAGACATGTGCTATATGGATTACGGTTTTTCCACAACATTCTTGACTTTAAAAGTCTTTGTCACAAAACTTAGCAACATTACTACAAGTATACAAGTAACTCAAGCTTTACTATGGACTACTTGATTAGTATAATATTTTGGATATACTTTCATCACCTATTTACTGTGAATAGCTTTGGCAATACCTGAGTTGTAGGAGACTAAATGAATTGCAGTTCTACCACATAGCTCTAATGTGGCTATGATGTAAATGGACATCTTGGGTAAGGTATGGTTTCCTTGCATTCCTTCTTAGAGGAATACCTTGCAAACACATATTAAATAACTAACATGGAGGTATATGGTTTGCTAACAAGTTAGTAATCATCAATAAATATACATAAAGCATTCCATTTATACTGTCCCTTTTCTTTCAAATTTCCAAGACATATTAAAATTTTCTCAGAACCATATTCATATCAGCTTACAGATGAAAATTACCTTACATGTCTTCTAGAACTTTGACAATGCTCGTCAATATTATGATCTTCCCAATTGTAGCCTAAAATACAGTATCAGAAAATTTATGATTTATGATTGGAAATAAGGCAAAATTTAGGTCATGATCTATGGTCAATCAAAGAACCATTTACTTCAGTCTTCCTCATGCTCAAGTGAAATTACAGAAGTACATTAATAATGAATAAAGAGTTCTTTCCTTATTTTAAAAAGTAAAGAAAATTCACTTATACCTATAGCAGTGAGATTCCTGTAGGTCTCCAGCATCACATCTTTGTAGAGAATCCTCTGGGAAGGATCCAGCAAAGCCCACTCTTCTCGAGTGAAGTTCACATGCACATCATTGTATGTCAATGCATTCTAAAATATTCACACATGTGTACAACAGAAAGCATGAAACTGACAACGTATACTGGAAATGTATACTTTGTTTACAATATTTTCACAGAATTCTGGTGTTTCTTCTACTTATTTTCTGACACACAGGTTCTAATATAATCGGGAACTCTTTTTAGGAGGAAACTGAATAGTGAGGTTCACTTCTCTAATTTCTGCATCCTTTCAGGAGGATATAGCCTTGCAAGAGAAATGCCAATTCACAGACAGAGAGAGAGAGTAAACATTAACAGTACTGAGCCCATATCAGAGAAATAGTATGAGTAATTCCTAACTATAATAACAATGGACAAGCTGGGTGTATTTTCTCAAGTCTTTTTTTCCAAAAACACTCAGGAGACAGGTGCAGGAGTATTTCATAGCAGTGGATGCTAGCCTGGTCTATGAATAAGTTCCAGGACAGTCAGGGATATATAATAAGAATGTGAATATTCTGCAAAAATTAATCAAACAAAAAAGATAGACACCTCTGTGAACACTACACCAACATCTCAGACAATAAGATCAACAATTAACAAAAGGGACACATGAAAATGAAAAGCACCTGGAAGGTAAACAACTCTATCAATAGAACAAATGATAGCACACAGACTGGGAGAGGACCTTCACCCACCGTATCTCTGACTGAAGGATAATATCCAAAGTAAAGAATTGAAGAAACTAGACACCAACAAACCAAATAACTCAATTAATTCATGGCATAAAGAACTAAACAGACAACTCTCAACAGACGAAGTGCTAATGGCTGATACACACTTAAAGAAATGGTTGGTGTACTTAGCCATCAAGGAAATGCAAATCAAAAGGACTCTGCATTTTGAGCTTACATTTGTCAGAATGGCTCAGATCATGAACTCAAGGGATATCACATGGTGGTGAGGATGTGCAGTAAGGAAAACACACCTTGCTGTTGAGAATGAAAACTTGAACAACTACTTTGGAAATCCATCTAGACATTTCTCAAAAAATTTAGAATAGTCCAACATCAATACTTATATACCTGAATAGCTATACTACTCTGGGGAATATACCCAATCCAAGGACTATAACATAAAACAAGAACACTTGCTCAAATATGTTCATAGCTTTATTTATTTGTAATAAACAGAAACTGGAAACAACCTAGATGTCCTCCTGTTGAAGAATGGATAAAGAAAATGTGATATAGTTATACAGTGGAATACCAATTAGCTATTAATAACAAAGACTTCATGCAATCAACCAGAGAATGGATGGAAAAAGGAAAGATTTTTCTGAGTGAGATAACCCAGACCCTGAAAGACCCACATGGTACCTACTGATACATAAGTGGAAATTAACCATAAAGTACAGGATAACCACGGAACAATCCACAGACCCAGAGTGTCAAGGGGAGCCAAGGGAGGGTTGTAGTAAACTCACTCAGAAGATCAAATAAGATAGGTATCTGAATTAAATGGAGGGAAGGAATAGGGTGGGAGAGGGAGTTAGGAGGATAATGGGGATGGACATAGGTATGGGGAGAGTAGATGCAAGGAAGGAATGAAAAGAGAGAATAGAAATCAGGGTGGGTGAATTTCTAGGTCATGGGAGGCCCCTGGAAGTATATGGGTGTGGCCCTAGATGAGAATCCATAGCAGCATGGGTTAAGAAACCTGAAGTTGCCAAATGAGAAATATAATATTCTCTGTTAAATCTCAAAATTCAAGATGTGGATGAAGATCAATTGAAGAATAGATATAGTATGTACAAATACCTACATTTCAGGTCATCAGCCAATAACATAAAAACAAAACAAAATTACAAAGAGAGCACTTTAGATTAAAATTCAAATGGATCTCTAAGTCTGAGGCTTGCCTGACTTACATACCTACTTACAGGACACACAAGACAACAGAGAGAAACGTTATCTTCAAAAACAAAATGAACAAAATTAATAATATAAAACAATAGACCAATTAGCACCTTGGAAAATGGAAGCAGTAATTAAAAGTCTGCCAAACACACACACACACACACACACACACACACACACACACACACACAAACGCCCTGGGCGAGATGGTTTTAGAAGAGAATCATACCCGATTTTCAAACAAGAGTTCATACCAATACTCATCAAAGTAGTCCACAAAATGCAAACAGAAGGAACATTGCCAACCTCATTCTAATGGCAGTCACCTTGATACACAAATCAAAATGTCAACAAAGAAAAAGAATTTCAGACCAATCTCAATTATGAACATAGACAGAAATATACTCAATAAAATACTCGCAAACCAAATCCAAAATCTCATAGAAGATTATACATGATGAACAAATAAGCTTCATCTCAGGGATACCAGGATGGTTCAACATATGAAAATCCATCCATGTAATCCACCATATAAACAAACTGAAAGAACAAAATCACATGATCATCTCATTAGATGAGAAAAAGCCTTTCACAAAGTCCAACACTCCTTCATGTTAACAGACTTAGAGAAATCAGGCATACAAGGAATCAGGCACATATTTAACATAGTAAAAGGCAACCTGTGAGCCAGCATGAAATTATTTGAAGAGAAACTTAAATTCCACTCATATGAGGTACAGAACAAGGATGCCTACCCTCTCCATATCTCTTCAATATACTACTTAAGTCCTAGCCAGAGTAATAACACAACTGAAGTTGATTAAGGAGATACAAATTGGAAAGAAGTCAAAGTATCACTATTCGCAGATGATATACTAGTGTACATACGGGACCCAAGAAATTCTACCAGAGAATTTCTACAATTGATATATACTTTCCACAAAGTGGCTGGAAATACAATTAGGTTAAAAGATCATTAGATCTTCTGCATACAAATGAAAAATGGGCTGAGAATGAAATTTGGGAAACAACACCCTAAACAGTAGCCACAAACAATATGAAATATTTTGTAGTAACCCTAACTAACCAAATGAAAGACCTCTATGACTAGAATTTCAAGTCTTTAGAGAGAGAAACTGAGGAAGATATCAAAAGATGGAAAGATCTCCCAAAATCATGGATATGTAGGATTAACATAGTAAAACAGCATTCTTAAGAAATGCAATTTACAGATTCAATCCATTTCCCACCAACATCCCAACATAATTCTTTATAGACCTTGAAAGAGCAAACAAACTTTATATGGAAAAATAAAACACCCTTGAGAGCAGACCAATCCTATACAATTGGAATAAGGACAAAGAAATAAACCCACACTCCTACTGGAACTTTACTTTCAACAAAGACAAAACAATACAATGGAAAAATGACAGCATCTTCAACAAATAGTTGTGGTCTAACTAGATGTCTGCCTGTAGAAAAATGCAAATAGACACCTTTGTATCACCGTGCAGAAACTCAAGTTCACATGGATCAAAGACCTTGACATAAAACCAGAGACTCTAAATCATTTAGGAGACAAGGTAGAGAAGTCTGGAACTCATTAACATAGGAGACAATAGAACAAATCAGCACAGGCTCTGAGATCAACGATTAATAAATGGGATCGGGGGGAAGGAGCCAAGATGGCAACACACACAGTTCCTGAGCTGTGGAAGAGCTAAACCGTCACAGTCGGTGAGTGGAAGGTCCTCTGAAACCAGGAAACATCGCACGAGGTAAGGACTTTGATCTCGGGTCACCCGGGGACTTGTTCGGGGAAAGAGAGAAACGATCCTCTGATCACCTGCATTCCCCTCTCGAAGACCTTTCCCCAGCCCCCACACAGCGAACTCACTGAGATTCTCAGCGCAGACCTAACAGCCTGGGGTCTGCAATGGCTGAGGTGGAGCTTCTACCCATTAGCGGCACCAGCCAGCGGTACCGGTCTTGGAGTACCAGAGACCCGCGGAATCAGACCAGCGCGGCACCATCCTTCTAGGGTCCCGGGCCGCTAGGCGCCATACTGGCTCCATAGGATCGCCCAGCCACTGACTGTACTCCCTGCCCAATCCCACAGTGACAGATAATACACTATATACTCACCCAAACCAGGCAGAAACGCCACACAAGCTAGGTACACAAGGCGATGGGCCTCCCAAGCTCGGAGAGCACAGTGGAGAGCCTGCAGGAATTCGCAGAAAGCATCTGGACTGGCAAGCCAGCCCCAGCTACAGAGGGACTTCCTAACCTGGCAGCGAAGCAGCACTGAGCTGGTGGGGCACATCAGGCCTCCAGCTTAAGACCAACCAGGGCTAAACCAGAGAGCAGAGGTCCCAGCTACCTCAATCCCTGCCAAACACCTAAAGATCTCCAGCTACAGTAGGACTTCCTAACCTGGCACTGGCAGCAGCACTAAGCTGGCGGAGCATATCAAAGAAGCAGGACCAAACCAGAGAGCAGAGAGCTCAGATATCCCGGTCCCTGCCAAGTGACCTGCCTGAGACTGAGTGCACCCCTGAGAACCTGCAGAGACCCAGACCCAGGGTCCTTATAAAACAGAAGACAGGCTTCGAACCCCCTCCCACCCACATACCCACTTTGGGAAAGAGGGGCACTTGGGACATTGAAGCTCCTGCTCTGTGGGTCTAATTGAGAAGTTAAGGCAGTTAATGCCAGAAATTGCACTGCGATCATCACTAGCGCCTGCTACATATACAGTGCAGAGCCCCTCCCACACACTCAAGGGTTCAACATTATCCATCACTCTGTCCCTCGAGACACATGTGCACACTTACACACACAAACACACACACACACAGGAATGCCTGCATTTGCCCCATTTGCACCTGCGTACTTTTCTCCCACAGGTATAGCTAGTCCTCAGCACATGCTGAGGACACGGGACCTCTCTCAGCTTCCTAAAGAACTCTCCAGATGCCAGAGAGAGACAGTACCAGTCTGATCTGCAGAATCCAAAAACAAACAGGGAAGGTTTCAGATAAGCCAATGGCCAGGGGTAGGTGAAAAAACACTTCCAACATAAATCAGGACATCATGATTTTACCAGCAAACCCCAAAATTGATGGATACTCCAATTCATCAGAAGCACAGGAAAATGACTTTAAAGCCATGCTTACCCAATTATTTGAGGCTCATAAGGAGGAAATGAACAAATCTTTCAAAGAGTTGACCACTCAACTGGAGGTAAAGAAAGAAGAAATAGACAAAATCCTTAAAGAAACACAGGCAAACATAGCCAAACAAATAGAGGCACAAGTAGAGATAAAATTAGTGGCATATAAAAAGGAAATGAACAAAGAAATAGAGACCATCGTAGAGAGACAGGAATCCAAATTCAAACAGATGAAAGAAATGGTGCAAGGCATGCAAACAATTAGAATCAATAAAGAAAACACAAACTGAGAAAAGCCTTGAGCTGGAGAACTTGGAGAAAAGTTCAGGAACCACAAAAGTAAGCATCACCAATAGAATACAAGAGATGGAAGAGAGAATCTCTGGAGCTGAAGACACACTTGCAGAAATTGATACTTCTCTCAAAGAAAGAGTAAAATCAGAAAAGTTCCAATCACAAAATATCCAAGAAATCAAGGACACTATGAAACGATGAATTCTAAGAATAATAGGAATTGATGAGGCTCCAAGGCCCAGAAAATATTTTCAAGAAAATCATAGAAGAAAATTTTCCCAACTTAAAGAGAGATGTCCATAAATATACAAGAGGCCTACAGAACACTAAATAGACTAGACCAGAAAAGAAACACATCACGTCACATCATAGTCAAAACACTAAATCTACAGAACAAAGAAAAGATATTAAAAGCAGCAAGGGAAAAAGGCCAAGTAACATATGAAGGTAGACCTATCAGAATCACACCGGACTTCTCATCAGAAACTATGAAAGCCAGAAGGGGTAAGTATCATGGAGACTCTAAGAGATCATAAATGTCAACCCAGACTACTATTGAGGGTAGCCAGGCTAGATGAGACCCCGTCTCAAGAAAGAGAAAAAGAACAAGTGAACTGATGCACAGTGATGAACAAGAGCAAGTAGCAGAAGATATGATGTACTCATCCACAGGGTTAGCAGGAGCTACAGCAGGTGGTTATGCACAATAGCCTGGCCAGTACAGTGAGGGGTCTTAGGTAGAGTCGGTAGTCTTGAGTGCAGGGTGAGCTCATGTTCCTCAGCATCCTCTCGCGCCCGCTGCGGGACCCCGTGCACCACCGGCCCCCGGGGAGCGGGGAGGAGGCGGCGGCCTGGGCACGTGCCCTGCACCCGGCCTCCCCGCAGGTGAGGATCCCCCAAACCCCGAGACCGCAGGCGAATGAGTCTTCCCGCCGCAGTGTCAAGGGCTCCGAGAGGGAAGGGCGTATTTTGGGATGTCAGGGTTGAACAAGAGCCACAGTCCAGGGCCAGGAAGGTGCAGGAGGGGTGGGGCTGGGCCATTTGTTTCCTAGTTAGCAGTGAGGAGGAGGTGGACGCTGGCACTCCTCTTGTCTCCCTTTCGCACATTCAGCCCAGTCAAAGCTACCGGGAGATGCTGGCTTGCTAAGGCCAGCCCTGAAGCCGCGTTTCAGGGGTCCCTGGGTCCAGTCGAGGTGACATGTGATGCTTTGTTACCCTGTCACTCCGTTTACAAGTTCCTTGTTCTCAGTGGGACAGCGAGCACTAACTGAGGTCTTGCGCCCCTCCAGGGCACTCCGACTTTCAAGGCCGAGGCTGGATCTCCCACCCAGGGAGAATGGCAGCAGCTGGCCGCGGACCCCCAGAACGGCTCGTGCTGAGAGAGCACGGAGGACTACAGGAGCACGGCAGTGCTGGGTGAGTGAGGCTGCTCTCTGACGCCCTGTGGTCCACGTAGCTCTAGTGAGCCAGGGTCTCCTCCTGGATGCTGTGATGAAGCGTCCTTCCCAGAATACCCCAGTTCCTGTCCTCCTGCCTCTGGAACCCCTTTTCTTCCCAGAATCCCCCAGTCCCCCCCCCACCTCCCTCTCCCTAAGCGCCTAGGGGAACAGTTCTTATAGATTGACCTCCTGACCCCACTGAGACCTTGGGTCCTAACACTGACATTGGAGTCCTGGGCTGGGCCCGTTCTCTCTCTGCTCACATTCTCCCGTTTCAGGCCTGGAGAACCAAGCTGCCTGAAACCTAACCTGATCCCAAAGCAGTAGAAGGACTACAAGGAGGAGGCCTAGCCTACGCAGGCCTGGGTACAAGGCGCCCCCCCCTGCCCCCCTGGGACAGACTTCGAAAGGGAAGAGAAACCACCTAAAGATGCTGTTCTGCCACCGCCACAGCCCCTGGGTTCTCCAGGAGAGCCATGGCACACAGCCACCTCGAGTGTCCCTTGTGCGCCCAAGGAGGAAGGGCTTTGGAGAAGTGGAGAGCCAGGCGCTTGGCCACCTCACAAGTCCTCTGCAGGGCCAAGGAGGAGGGGCTTTGGAGAAGTGACAACCTTGAGGAGGTTGCCACCATCCTGCCCTTGCTCAGGATCAACCGTGCCACTTTTGTGAAGTAGTCCCCACTGGAGAACAAGTTTGCTGTGGGGAGTGGAGCCCTGCTCATCTCCTCTGTCTGCTACTTTGACTCTGAAAATGACTGGTGAGCCATGCCAATCTCCCTTCCCTTCCTTCCTCCCTCCACTTCCTCCTTCATCTCTTCTTCTCTGTACTTTCCTTTCCAGCCCCCGACTCTTCTTAATTCATGTAGGAAGCGTTTCCTCCTGACTGCCTTGGAGGAGTTGACTGTATGCGTTTGCAGAGAGGTTGTAAGTGGACTGGACCTTACTGTGGTCGCAGATGTAGTCCCTGAACATGAGCTGTACGTCAGCCTCTCAGGCCAGTGTGGTGCACAGGCCTGTAATTCTAGCTTGACTTTGAGACCAGTGTGGGGTTCACAGCAAGTCGGAGGCCAGCCTGAACTCTGTGTAGGAAGCTCTTCCCTGACAAAGGGCAAGCCAGCCTTCAGCAGGAGCAGCTGTACACTGTAGGGAGCCCATTAAAATACTCAAGCCAAAGTCAAAGGACAGACTTACAACGTTAAAAGTGATAATGCACACACAACTTATCTCTGTAAACGTAGCTAATGTTGCCTGTAGATTTTAGAATTGGAATGGTTTTTATAAACATAGATTAGTTTTATTTGAAGGGGGTTTATGGAGTGGCTTGGAAAATGCTGTTTTTGTCTCTGAGGACAGTATAAACTAGGTTTTCTTCTTCCTCAGGTGGGTGAGCAAGCACATTAAGAAGCCAGTTCGCTCCACAGTCCTCAGCTTGGGCTGCCACCCCAACAACATTTTTCTGGCTGATGGGTCATGTGACTTCAAATGCAGTTGAGGATAAATGGGTATTGCCTGTTGCTCAGCATTGACAGGTACCCATTGGGCTCCTTTATTTGCAATGTACAGTACCTGTGAGCAGCTCGGCGATAAAGGGAACTTCCTGGTCTAGAAAAAGAGCTGTGGCTGGGATGTGATTCAGCAGGTAGACAACTTACTGAGCGGGTTACCGTCCCCCAGCACCCAGCACTGCAGAAGCCCGGCAGGTGCTGCACGCCTGTAAACCCAGCACTGCCTGTGGAGTTAAGGTTAGAGGCTCAGTTGCAGACTGAGATTGAGGGTAGCCAGGCTAGATGAGACCCTGTCTCAAGAAAGAGAAAAAGAACAAGTGAACTGATGCACAGTGATGAACAAGAGCAAGTAGCAGAAGATATGATGTACTCATCCACAGGGTTAGCAGGAGCTACAGCAGGTGGTTATGCACAATAGCCTGGCCAGTACAGTGAGGGGTCTTAGGTAGAGTCGGTAGTCTTGAGTGCAGGGTGAGCTCATGTTTTGACCACCCATCCATCTCTCTCTCAGACTGTCCTGCTCAGTTTTTAAGTCAATTGATTTTATTTATCTGTGCATGTGGGTATGCATGCCTGGCAAAGGCCAGAAGGGATAAGAGATGCCCAAGAGCTAGAGGTGGTTATGAGCCACCTGATACAGGTGGTGGGAGCCCAACCCAGTCC